AAAAAAAAAAAAAAAGAAGTTTCAAGGAGAGCTGAAATAAAGCAACAGACTGAGAAATGTGAGATCAAGGGAAGGATTTTTCTTTCTTTCTTTTTTTGAGAAGGGACATTCCGGAACACATTTATGCCGTTTGAATGACCCAGTGTGAAAAGAGATTGATAAGCAGGATGCATGAGTACAGCCCTTGAGAATGGAGAGAATTCAGAACACAAATGGAGAAACTGGCCTTTGAGAGAGTATCAGCCAAGAGGGAAAACTTCTCCGATTGGAAGGCTGAGGGTCGCTGCTCTCTTCCTTGGACCCCACATAAATATACTTCTATTTTAAGAGCCTGATTATTATGCGCACTTATTTCAGTTTGCTGCCAAACTGTTATAGGATGTGAAACCCAAGGAGCCTTTTCCCGTTCTGAAACTAGTACTACACACAGCCTCCAACTGCAGACTATGATTAAGACAGAGGTATCTAGAATCTGTCAAAATCGAATACAGGGAAACTCTGAATTTTCAGGAAACTAATGTAATGGCATATAAGGATTTTCTGAATGGGAACTAGATGTTGCAAAGGATAAAATGAAGAAAGATCTCCTATCTTGCCTAGTCCCTGACTGAATAGTGTATCCTTCCAATGAGGCTGCATCTACGTTTGTCTACTGCTGTTGTACTATGCACTTCTGAGACACTCAGGCTCTTGTATAAGCACCAAAGGCACACCTTAAATAATCCAAAACATGCCTACTCACGTGAACTGGCTTTAAAATAGTTTAGCATAGAATCACGTGCAGGAAAGATCGGAGGACAGTCAAAGAGGGAAAAAAGAGTCACAAAAGGAAACTGATAGAATTATTATTTTTAAAATGAAGCACATAAACTCACCTTTTTCATCTTGTACCACACATTGAGTTTTCTCTTGACAATGTCTGGGTACCACCACGGTTGCTATCTCTTGAACATCTTTCATTAAAACATCACTATCTACTTTAAGAATACTTTTAAGTCTGCTGAGTTCCTTCGGGGCATTCTTTTTTCTCTTTTCTGCACGCATCTTCCTTTTCCACTTACTCCGTAAGCTTTTAGCCATATTTTACCTGAAAAGCTAACAGAAACACATATACAAAAGCAAAAATTTACTTTTTTTTTTTTTTTTAATTCATGAGAGACAGAGCGAGAGAGAAAGGCAGAGGGAGAAGCAGGCTCCCAAGGAGCAGGGAGCCCGATGCGGGACTCGATCCCAGGACCCTGAGATCATGACCTGAGCCGAAGGCAGACGCTTAACCATCTGAGCCACCCAGGCGCCCGCAAAAATTTACTATTAAAAAAAAAAAGGGCAAATCCTTGGAAAACCAGGTCAAAAGGTATCTCTACAAAACATGAACAAATGGAAAGTAAAACTCTTCACTCTGTTCATGATTTATGATGGCATAATGGACAAATTATGTGAGGGTCAACATGGCATATACAGCCATTAAATAACAAGAGCACCCAATCAAACTCCCTATGGTCGCTGGCAAACAATAAGTCAGGCCAATTCTGAAAGCTCCTGGAGTTTCCACACAAGATGCAGAAATTTAATTTCCCCCCAAATGCAAAGAGCATTACCGCTTCATATTTATGCAACAACTTCAAATTACAAAATGGTTGGCTTTTGTTTTTTCATGGGGTTCTTTTTGTATTTTTTAAGTAGGCTCCACGTGGGCTTGAACTCAGGACCCTGAGATCAAGACCTGAGCTAAGATCAAGAGTCTGACTTAAATGAGTGAGCCACCCATGCCCCCCAAATGTTTTTACACTTGATTTCCTCGAAGCCTATAGGACATGCCACCTGTCTTCCTCATTATCCTCCCCTTAATTCAATGTAGCTATTTTAAACTTACCTATTTCCACTCCTGCTGTTCTTCACCCCTTAGCCTCAGCCCTGAATACTCCGTATGGCAGTTAGTATGAGCTTTTAATTTTTTTTTTTAAGGGAGAGACTGAGAGTGCCAGCAGGGGGTGGGGGGAGAGGGAGAGAGAGAGAGAATCTTAACAGACTCCACGCTCACAACCCTGAGATCATGACCTGAGCTGAAATCAAGAGTTGGATGCTTAACCAACTGAGCCACCCAGGTGCCCGTAGTGTAAGTTTTTAAAAACTTAGCACTTTTCATCCTTTCATGGAATTCTTTAATGATATCCCACCTCATATTCATGATCTACAAGATTATTTGTGACCTAGCCCTGCCTCCTTCAACTGCACACCTCATGCTCCAAGCTCCATCCCATCCCCAAGTACCAATTACATCTGAAAAAAGTTCAATCAGTGACAACCTAGGGACATTACGGGATGTGAGAAGGAATGGGAAGGAATTGCAGGTATTATAAAGGGTTGGGAGGAAGGCTTTTGGGAGTGATCTATGACACTATCTTGATTATGCTGATGGATGTTTGTATACAAATATCAAAAATTACATTACACACTTTAAACATGTGCAATTTATTATACACAATCAAGCAATTAAATAAAACATTAAGACATGATTTTGGAAAAAAAGAAAGAAAAATTTTAAAGTCCAAACTACGGCCACTTTAGCACCTTTCCAATTTGCTGCTCCTATGCCTGGGAATGATCTTCCTAACGCTTGCTCCTTCGCTTAAGTACCTCAGAGAGGGCTTCTCTGACCCCCACCCCTATAGACTCCCCTCCTTTATTCTCCACCATATCATCCTTTTCTTTCCTTCTAAATAGGAATCTGAAGTTACTTACTTTATTTTCTGTCATCCCCGGTGGACTGTGGGCTCCACGAAGGCAGGGACTAACTAAATACACCTTGTTCACCGTTGGATGCCCCAATGCAGTGTGCTTTTGTTGAACGGATAACTAGTGGAGTTACAATTTTTGGACGCCCATCACAACTCACTCTGTTCCCCTGTCTACAACAACCCAAAACTTCGAGGGGCAAGGATAGAAGGGCTGAGGTAAACAACAATCTTGAGGGCCCAGGTTAACCTGAGCGAGACTACCGAAGAAGGAGGGCTCCACCACGCACAGAGCACAGGGAAGCCCGGGGGCCACCACCAAGACCACGGGAGACCCTCGTCCCTGAAGCAGGTGTGCGTCTCCGCCGGGCTCAATCTTACCCAGAGAGCGACCAAGCTTGAGACAAGATTCTCTACGGACGGCGGGATCGAGCGCCAAGCTCCATTCCCCACTAGACCGGGAATCAGAGAACTCACCGGGAAACTCAGACGCCGCACTCAGAACCACGCTGACCGGAAGCCTCCGCACTTCCGCCTTCCGGGCAGCCCCTTCTACAAACTCCTGGGAGTCCCGGGCGGGCGCACTGCACGCCGGGAGCCAAGATGCCCCGGAAAGCCTTGAGAGGCGGGGCCTTCCGGAGTCTGGCGCTGACGTACTTCCTTTGATGGAAGTGCGACTTTGGAGCTTGACTCCTCCCCTATGGGTTTCCAAGGGGTATTTGGACAATGAGGAAAATAGCGGGGGGGCGTTGTGCGTGAGCCGGTTAGCTCCGACGCTCTAACCCCAAGAGCGATCCTGGCCAGGTGACCCTGCCTGCCAAGTAGTGAGCTCAGAGTTGACCTTTACATCTCAGGTCCTGCATCACGGTTCACACGGTACTCATGGATTTCCTAAGACGGAATCATCCCAGATCCCGTGTTCTGGAGAATCGGAACTGAAATCATCTTTACTTGAAGCCCTTAAATTTTCCTATCTGGGGTGATGATCTCATGAATGTACGCATTTGTCAAAACTGATGAGGAGGCGAAAGGCAGGCTGAGGACAAGGCATAAGCTGACACCCTGCAACCTCCCCCCACCCCCCACTCCTGGGTGGGACATGTGTGATATTCTTCCAGGAATCTCCTGGCTTAATGTTAATACCTTGCTAGAGGGGAAAAGAACCTTAACTTGACAATGGCAAGACCTCTGGTATCTTATAGGTATCTTGGAGGTCCATCCTCTTTAGCATATCAAAGTTCTTTTGAAACCTCCCTTTAAAAAAAAAGAAACCTCCCTTTTCCTTACTAACCACAACTCCAGAGTATATAATCACCACTCCTCAAGACCCAGGTGCAGCAGCTCTTTCTGCCCACAGGTCCTGTCCCCATCCTTCAGTAAAACCACCATTTTGCACCAAAGATGTCTCAAGAATTCTTTCTTGGTCTTTCTTGCACTCTGTGATAGGCTCTATGTTGGGTATACAAAGATGACTGAAACTAAATTACCGGCTTCAGGAAACTTTAGCCCCTGATGGAGGGACCAGGCTTAAAAGTCACACGGAACATTGCTTCAGCTCCCTCACCGAACTGGAAGAAGCCCCTGGGACAGGAGGCACAGTGGGTAGCACTGAATACCTGACTAGAAGTGCACTGGTTCCCCACCTTAAAGGCATGCTACACAACAAGCACCAGCCAGTAGGGCCTCTGCAGTCAGGGCTCTCCCATGGAACGCCCAACCTGAATAATCACCGAGAACTACAAAGGCTTCTGGGATTCAGACGGTGACCCCATGTTGTCCAGGCTCTAGGTGGTGAGGACTTCAAGGCAAAGCTCTACAAAGATGAACAAGCAAAATTCCCAGCTAGTTCCAAGGCCCACAGCTGGCTGCTGCCACCACTAATTCCCCAAAGTGCATCAAGTGGATCAAAGCCTGGTGTGAGGAGGCCTGCAGAAAAAAAAAATGTACGCAGGCAGACAGAGCCCACTGCACCTTTCCCAAAATTACATTCCGTAAAAACAATTCTCAGATACTGCTTTCTCTGTTTTCCTCCTACCTCTGGCTATACTTTGTACCTTGCATATGGAGTTGCCGATCGCTCTGAGTCCTGCTAATTCCACTTCTTAATATATTTCTGGAGTCCGCATATTTTCACCTTTACTTGTTATAAGAAACTGAAGTTGTATGTACCCTTTTATCCAGCAATTCTGCTTCTAGGTATATTCCCCTATCTAGGCAAACTCCTATCTCTGCACACTGGGACACATACAGGGACAAACAGAGCAGCACTGATTTTGCCAGTAAAAAAGAAGGAACCATATAAAATTCTTCGACAGGAAAAGGTATGAATAATTATGGTTCATTGATAAAATATAATAGTCTGCATCAGTGGTTTTCAAACGTCTTGGTCTTGTGATCTCTTTACAATCTTAGAAATTACAACATTTGTCATATCAGAAATTAAAACAATTTTTAAAATTTTATTTAAGTCCTTTAAAAAAGATAAATGAATTACATGTCTACATTACTCTTATTAAAAAACTATTTTCCAAACCAAAAAATAATTTACTGAAAAGAATGGCATTGTTTTACATTTTTTAAATGTCACATCTGTTTTTGCTTATTATCTTTAGTCACAATTCAGCGCCTTCTGCCTTTGCACTGCCAACAAGAATTAATAGTAGCTGACATTAACTAAGCACTTAGTTTAAATGACATACCCATCTCATTTAATCCTTATAATAGTCCAATAAGGTAGGTATTACGATTCCTATTATAAAGATGAGGCAAAAGACCTAAGAAAGGATAAATAACTTGCCAAAAGTCACATCATCAGTTGGTTGCACAGCAAGGATTCCAATTTAAATGCTCTCACCCACTATACTATGTTAAACTTGAGTTGAGCATCATGCAACTAAGTATTCAACAATTAATTGATAAGGATGGAGTCAAATTTACATCTAAAACTCACCAAAGGCTAAATCTATATTATTAATTTATTTCAACTTAACAGCTAGGGAATGATGCTTAGTGGGTGTTATGGGCCGAGTTGGGCCCCCCGAGATTCATATGATGAAGTCTGTCTTAGTCTATTTGGGCTGCCATAACAAAATACTAGAGCCTGGGTAGTTATAAACAACAGAAATTTATTTCTCAGTTCTGGAGGTTAGGAAGTCCAAGATCAAGGTGCTGGCAGATTCAGTGTCTAAAGGCCCTTTTCCTCGTTTGAAGATTGTATCTTTTTACTGTTACCTCACGTGACAGAAAGGGTGAGGGATCTCTGTGGGGTCACTTTTGTAAGAGCACTAATCCCATTCATGAAAGCTCCATCCTCATGACCTAAGCATGACCCAGAAGCCCCACCTCCTCATACTAGCACACTGGTCATTAAGTTTCAACATGTGAATTGGGAATGGGGGTGGGAGACAACAAACATTCAGACTATTACAAGGTCCTAAGCCCTAGTATCTCAGAATGTGACCATATTTGGAGACAGGGTGTTTACAGAGGTAATTAGGGTAAAATGAGGTCATTAGGGTAGGCCCTAATCCAATATGACTTGTGTCCTTGTAAGAGAGGAAATTTGGACACGGGACAAGTACAGAGAGAAAACCATGTAAAAACGGGGAGAAGATGACCATCTACCAGCCAAGAGAGCGATCTCAGAAGAAACATACTATGATCTCAGACTTCTAGCCTCCAGAACTGTGAGGAAATAAATTTCTGTTTAAGCCACCCAGTCTGTGGTACTTTGTTATGACACCCTAGCAAGCTAATACAGTGAAGGCATTTGCAAAAGTTTGCTTGGCCACTGCTATAATTTTTATATGGAACCTGTACTTAAAAAAAACTAATAATGTCATGTTTTATGTCAAAATATCTGACTTTCAAGAAGACATCTCATTTTTAATTCATCATTGTATAATGAAATGTCATTAACATTTTAATATAATGCTGAATAATTCGATGGAATTTACCTTTTACACTTTTTCCTTTCTAAATAATAAATAAGATCAAAATCTTCTAGTAGAAGGAAATTTATACTTTATAATGATAAGGACACAAGTACTTTAAAGGAAAAATTTAGATAAAATCACTAGTCACAGATAAACTGACCGTCTAATCTACTCATGAAATTATTTTTGAATTGCAGATGAACAATCTACACATGGCAAATTTAGGATTGAAAAAACTGAAAAACAGAATTTTGATATCTCCTGAGATTCTAAATCAAGGATTTAGAAATGAGATACCATAAAGAATAGTAAGATTTATATTATTAGTATATAATCTAGTTAATTATATCACATATTTAATATAATATATATTACATATAATCAGAATTATTATAATCACTTTTATACAATAGTAATACAGATATTACTAGTATACTATATAATAGCTCAGAAGTACATACCATATGAAGAAAGTCACAAAAGTATTTAATAGTTAATTATATCTCAAACTTTATTACTTAATCAATCAGTTTCCATATACTGCTTTCAATCACTTTTTATTAACTGCTTCCAAAAAGCGCAACAGGTGCAGGAATAGGTTGATGACATCCAAGTAGAGGCTGATGGCAGCTAATACATACTCTTCAGGTGACAGCTTATGCATCAATGAGTGTGTGTCATAGATGATGAATCCACAGAAAAGCAGGGCTCCCACAGCAGCCAAGATCAACTCCATTGTTTGACTATAGAAAAATAACTATAGGCAAGAAATTAATCAGTTTATATTTAAGAACTGTATTAAGCATACTTAAGTTACTTGCTCTTGAGTTATATATGCTATATACATATTTAATGCTTTACAACTTGGAATGCAAATGTTAAAATTAGAAAAAGGCAAGGCAGGTCCATCCTCATTTTTGTTGGATGAAAGGATGAATGGATGAATCAATGGATATCCTCCTTTCTATTAAATCACCCACAACTTTGAACAGTAGCATTCCAAATATAAATTATTTTAAAAAAATATTTCTTTTTCAGAATTATATGTGCCACTGGGAGGTTAGCAGTTCCAAGTGAGGGCCTCTTTCTCTGTAATTTAAGTCATATGTTCATCTTCCTTTTAATCGATAATATTAACATAAGACCTTGATTTTTTTTAAGATAATTTTTTAATCATTCTATATACAAATGTTCCAGATAATTATAAGTAAGTGTCCTATCATAAGAGTACCTCTTACAGCTTTTTGAGATTATTTATACTGACATGGCCAGAATTATATTTCAAGTTACTATTTTAAAAACAACTTACCTTCAGGATTCCTGACAAGCACAAAATCCACAAAACAGCAAACAGTCTATAAAAACAAAATATTAGTAATTTAGAATAGTGTTCCTTTACCAACTATGTAAGCTGATGCAACATTTTCT